GTTTTAATGTTTTCATCTGAGAGCAATAGAATCAGTTAGGGGAAAATGTACATGAATGTTTTGATTGTGCATAAAAACGTGTATGTTGTTATTTACCCGGTGATGAAGGCTTGGTTATCTAGTGCTGCCACTAGATAAACTGTAAGTGGGTGAGTTTCATGAACAGAAATGTGTTTTCTCACAGTTGACCCCACAGCTGTTGACTAGATTCGGATTCCTAGGAACCCTATGGGCTATAATAGGACCACTACTCCATGTCTGTGTTTACCGGAGCAGCCAGCCTCATCTTTCTCCAGCAGTGCAACTGGTGGGTTTGAACCACCAACCTTGCAGTTAGCAGCCCAGTGTTCAATCCACTGCACCACCAGACTTCCTTCTCTCATAGTTCAAAGGGCCAGGAGTCTGAAATCAGGGCACCGGCTCTAGGGGGGGAGGCTTCATCTTGCTATTGGTTCTAGAGCAATGGCCTCGTCTTGTGTCCACTTCCGTTCCTGGGTTCCTTGTTTATCTGCATGTGGCCTGTCTCTGTCCCCACCTCCCATTGTTTTTTCTGCTCCTTTTGTGTCTTAGAAGAGATTGGCTCAAGACACACCCCTCGCTAACCCTGTCTCATTCCAAAACGGAGAAAACCCATTCCCAAATGAGATTACGAGGGAGCTTCAAGACGTTTCCTGGAAAAATGGTATTAAAAGATGGTGGAATTTCTCCACAGAAGTTTCAAAGAGCCCTCAGAAAACCACAATTGTATAAAAAGCAGCCCGCTGCTCTTGAGTCTAATCGGGCTCAGAGTGACCCCATAGAAGGTTCCAAGGCTTTACAGGAACACACAGCCTCATCTTTCTCCTTTGGAGGGGCTGATGGGTTTGAACTTCAGACCCTGCGGTTAGCAGTCCATTGCTAATTCTACCACATCACCAGGGCTCCTTAGCCACAAGTATAGGGATTAGAATTTGTAACACATCACTTAAAGGGCACAGTTCAATCCATACCAGTTTCCAGATGAGGCGGTCGGTGTGAATTGTGCAGAGCAGTTCTGACTATTCATGGACAGAATAGGAGTGGCCAGCTCACGGGATCCCCGAACTGAGTGTTGGTGGGGAATTTGCTGGGGTAGGGTCTGTGCTGTTTGTCATGGTTTTCCTAGAGTTGGGAAGGTCCAGTGGTTCATTCTTGGGCAGCAAGTGTACTGTCTGGGTACCTAGGCCAGGTGAACATTGCACTCAGGGTCAACTCTGCTTTCACTTGTTTTACCTACACGAAGAGCCCTTCTCACCTGGGACCAGGTGTTGCAGAAATGTAGCTCACATGGGAGAGGCATCATGCTATTC